GTTTTGCCACGCAGTGAGAGTCTCTAGCTGGAATGGTCGCGTTCTGGTCGAAACATGCCGTGACTTCACAAAAGACGGCCATATCGAAGGCGAATTGTTTATTGGATTTAGGACTTTGTGGTTCTAGCTTCGGGAAAGTACTTTTCCGTCTGAGGTTTTGGCCTAGGTTTGAGGTTAGCTGGGATTGACTAAGCACGCCACTATATTTCCTTCACCTCAGTTGCACACTTTGTGACATTACGACATTCACGCCACTCATCCCTGCATCCAGAGGCGGTGGGGAACAACTCACAGTGCCTTTACTGTGGTCCCGGACAGCTGGACAGCAGGTAGAGGGCATCGGAAAATTCACACCCAGACAAATTGCACGAACGCCGCACAAACGCACACGACTTCACTTTCACCGCAGCAGCTTGAACCTAAAACCCTAGGGCCCTACATCCGATAAATCCTGAATCTTGAAAGAAAGGGTTAATCGGGGTGCAGCGACATCGTTGCGTTACAGAGCGGCATCCCATGCACGGTGGGCATGCTGACACAGCACGTGAGTCCTGTCTCCATCGCCCACGAAAATATCTCTGTGCACAACGATTAGGATCCGTCATTCTCTACAGTAACTATATACATCAGTCTAAAATTTAGCATGCTATCAGAAGGGCTGGTTTGGGCTTAGGAGCCCTGTTCGGCCTTCTGGTCACCGCCGAAGCGCTTCATGATGTTCTCGTCCACCCAAGGGGCCATGGCCAGCGCCGCCCCAAAGCGGATGGGAAGCAGCAGGCGCGCGATGTTGGAGGCGGCGAAGACCATGCCGAAGACGGCCGCGCTCTCCTCGGGCTTGCTGAAGTCCGGCCAGTGCCCGGCTGTCTGGAGGTACACAAAGATCTCCGTCGGGAAGGCCACCGCCCAAAAGATGAGCTCCGTGATCACGTAGGACAGAGTCCCTGCTGTGCCATACTTCTTCACGTCGTCCATGGTGATGTTGCCGTAAGTGGAAGGCTCCCACACATCGAAGGGCTTCTTCTCCTCGGTCTCGGTCTCGGCAGCCCGCATGGAGCTGCGGCTGCGGCGGCCGGAACGTCCGAAGGCGGCAAGGGCACCCGCAACGGCCCAAGTGCCGAAGAGAGCGACTCCACTAACTCCCTCTGTGCCCTCGACCGGCATCGGAGCGGCAGGAGCACGCGCCGGTGCGGACGGGGCACGCAGGCTGCGGCTGGCCTGGGCAGCCTGCATTGGGCTGACAAACGCCAAGGACGACATGTTGGCCCTGCAAGAAACACAGCAGTTCACGGGCTCTGTGAAAAGTCCTACGCACCAGAGCAGCTGCACGAAGCACGCAAGCACTGAGGGCGAGTGGTCTCAGTCTTCGAGAACGCACTGGTAGCAAGGCCCTGGTAACAACACATTACTGTAAATTAGCAATGCAGGAGCGTCGTCTTCTCCTCCGGCTTGCTGATGGCAGTTGGCCGGTGGTTGCAGGCTGGAATGCAAGAGTGAAGCGAGTATTGGAACTGCTGTGTGCTGTACTTCGGATGTCATGCTCTGGGGGACAGTAGCAAAACCTTCAACCTACCGAATTCAACATAAACCGCCACCACCGCCACGCCGCCACAACCACCACTACTACCATTACCACCACCTCCTCCAATTCCTGGAAACGTCAGGGGGCCAAAATGCTGTTATGGGCTACCTCACGTTGCAGCATATTACAAGAGGTTCTTCTGAACCCAGAGACAACGACCTACTGCATAGGTCGTTGGGCTTCGAAGGATGAGATGACCAGAAACCCTCCAGACTCTGTAAAATGTAGAGAAAGCTGTAGTCGGATAACACGGTAATGTCATAGTGCCTGGACTGAAAATGCTTAGTCCTATACATCCTAAACCCGCTAAACCCAGTGCCCAAATCCGCCATCAACCCTGACACCGAAACTAACGGCATTCATTTTGCAGATGTTCATATATGCTGCTGTTTATTCAAGGCTTAAGCTGAAGCTATTAGGGCTATTAAGGTTTACAGTATAGGTTCAGGGTTCAGGCAGATTACAGTGATTACAGTCTGGTAATCCTTGCGACTCTGTGAGTGTAACAGCAGAGTTGCACGGTGCTCTTCGACATGAGGGTCTACATTCGAACCTTCCTAAAATACAAAGCCCAAAGGGTCCAAGTATCATTCTGGTATATACTTAAAAGGTATTTCGGGTGTCTAAGTATATACCATAATGATACTTGCACCCTTTGGGAAGGACCTGCACGCTTCCTTTTTGATCCGCAACCCTTCATGGCGGAGGCATGCGAAGTCTGTGTGGAGAGAGAGTCCTCCTGCGACTGCCCTGCCACGCCCTGTCGGCAGATCTCTTGCGGTGTTCTCCTAGCACGATTTAGGGTTTAGGATTTAGGGTTTGGGGTTTGGGGTGCCTAATGCGTGAGGTCACTTCGGAAATCTCACCGATGCCAAGGACAGCGGAATTCTGGCTTCTGGGATTTTGACTTTGTAAGGTCACAGCTCGCACCCTAACTTGGAGCGGACACCCGATCTCCCAAACAGAAGTAGTAGCACTAACAACAGCTCATTTCGATCGTCCAAGACTTCCCGATTGCAAGCTTTCCCTAAGAATACATGCAGATGCACACAAGGATTGTAGGTCATGATCGGAGCTCGAAACAGGACGGAATCTACTAGAGAAAGGTGGCACAAACATACATTCCACCGCAACCCGTATATGAACCCTAAACCGCTGCCAAAAGCCTGCCAACAACTTCACCTGTTGGCCAAAAAGCCTTGTAAGTACGGTTAATGATAAAAACTCTGCACTACCTTAAGGACCCTTTTTGGTTTAACCAATCTTCTCACTAGGATCCTATAAGGTAACCCCAAGAAGGAACTACAATGGAGACTATAGGTAATACTAATTACTCGCCAATTCAACTATAATACTCTGTTGCATACACGGTTTCTCTAGCCTAGGGTCGCACCATAGAACTCGTGAGCCGAGAAATGAAGCTGCTACATGGAAGAGCATATTGCAGGGATCCAAGGTTTGTTTAAGAAAGGAGATGTAGGGATCACACCCTGAATCCCTAAACCATATAAAGCCCAACCCGATGATCAGGGATGATATCCTTCAAACTATGGCAGCATCCCTTACCTAAACTCCTAAACCCCAAACTCCTGAACCCTTAGAGCTCTAAAGACCTACACCCTTCATTACCACCGATTTGGGGCAAGCAGAGAGAACTCAGAAAGACAGGAATTTCATCCTTTGTGGTGTACATACTTACTCCGTTTCAAGGGGTCTGATCAGGGTTCTATAGGGCTTACAGTGCTTAGGGATAGTCTCCATGGAAATTAATTTTAGATTGACTATCTGCTGTCCTTCTTTATAGGATCCTGACCAGTCAGGGCGCACGGCTGGGTGCTAAGTCTGTGCAACTTGCGCGGTGAGGCCCTCCTGACCCCGAGAACTGCCACAGCAATGCGAGAATTATTTCTTTAGGGTTCCAGAGTCTGTAAGCCCCAAACCCTGCGCTCATCCGCGAAACCCTCGGTTCTGGAAACATTGACAATTCAAAGGAAGTCAGAAGACGGACCGATGAAACTGTAGTTTTTTTGTGGGCGAGGTAACGCCAATTTAATTAACCCTAGCGCTAAACCATAAACCAATTAGTCCTGTAACCCGACACCCCAGTATGTGGATGCGTCGTCCGAGCTGCTTCGACAGTGCCCGGAGCCAAAAGCCATTCCCAGGTCTTCTGTTTAGTGCAAGGGCCTTCGTATGTAGAGTATGGCTCCGGGTAAAAATTCCCATAGGCTCCGTTGTAGCTCCTTTTGGGGATTAACTTATAGGTGCCTGAACACTGAACCACTATGGAGCCCCTATAGGTGACTTAACAGTATAGAGACTGTAAAGGGATAATCAAGGGACATAGATACTCGTACGAATAATCCAGATGCATTCGTATTGAGCTGTTTTATCCGGTTGATGCTTTCCATACGACCCACATTGATGTGCATGACTGTTCATCAAGCGAAATCAGCAAACACATGTCGGACTTGTCAGTCGTAGGGTAGAACAACCTGCCGTACGGCAAACCAAGATGGAAGCCTGCGAAATGTGTAGTTCATGCAAGCAGCGATAACGACCAAAACCGTGCAGCTTGAACACACAAACCTCAGCTCGAAGCAAGGCACAACGTTTTGCGCGCCGTAAGGCCTACACCCCGAACACCAAAACAATAACACTACCTATAGTCTCCATTGTAGTTCCTTTTTCTGGTTTAACCAACTTTTATATTAAGGATCCTCAAAGGTAACCCCCAAAAAAGAACTACAATGGAGACTATAGGTAACCCCAAAAGCAAGCATGGCGTAGGCTGCCAAACTCACGAACCAACAAAGTGCCCATGTCCCCAACCACGTCCTAACATGCCATAGAATGTAACCTTTAAACATGACTTCCTCAAAACCTACTTTTTGCATGGGGTTTAAGGTTCAGGAACCAATTATAGTTCAGGGCTTGAGGACGTCAGGCTTTTGCCTTGAGGTTGACAAGGAAACCGGGATGATGCTCGCAAAAAGGCAGGCAACAAGTTGGTATGACTCACGCACTTGAGTCTAACCCTACAGACGGTTTCGGGTGGGTTGAGGCTTTAGGGACTAAGGAGCTGACTCGGATAGCACTACCAAGACTTTATCAAGCTTCTCGTTTGATGGCTGTCCTGGGAAGGGTTCTCCCGGCGGCAACGAACACCTCGACGGCTGAAAGGCTGTGATTGCAGCCCCTTGCCGCGATACTGTGCTTCAATTCGAAGTGCCGCGAAAAACTGGGCGACCTTTCTTCTGGGTCCATGCATACACTACCCATCAGACCAACACGGCATTCGGATACACACAACAATAATGAAGGAGGAGGCGATACTTTGACACATATATTCCTTAAAAGACACATAATTTGCTAGGCTGTGGCCTACAAAGCTGCAAAGCCAATCGCACTGCAGCTATCTTCAGGAGCCCTGTTCGGCCTTCTGGTCACCGCCGAAGCGCTTCATGATGTTCTCGTCCACCCAAGGAGCCATGGCCAGCGCCGCCCCAAAGCGGATGGGAAGCAGCAGGCGCGCGATGTTGGAGGCGGCGAAGACCATTCCGAAGACGGCCGCGCTCTCCTCGGGCTTGCTGAAGTCCGGCCAGTGCCCGGCTGTCTGGAGGTACACGAAGATCTCCGTCGGGAAGGCCACCGCCCAAAAGATGAGCTCGGTGATCACGTAGGACAGAGTCCCTGCTGCGCCATACTTCTTCACGTCGTCCATGGTGATGTTGCCGTAAGTGGAAGGCTCCCACACATCGAAGGGTTTCTTCTCCTCGGTCTCGGTCTCGGCAGCCCGCATGGAGCTGCGGCTGCGGCGGCCGGAACGTCCGAAGGCGGCAAGGGCACCCGCAACGGCCCAAGTGCCGAAGAGAGCGACTCCACTAACTCCCTCTGTGCCCTCGACCGGCATCGGAGCGGCAGGAGCACGCGCCGGTGCGGACGGGGCACGCAGGCTGCGGCTGGCCTGGGCAGCCTGCATTGGGCTGACAAACGCCAAGGACGACATCGTTGAAGGAACTGTGTACGAAGCGCAACACGCACTACAAGAATGCCTACGGACCAGCGAGGCTGCGTGCACACGTTTGCGTGCAAGACATGCTCCATCCACTCAGTGAGATATTTGAATTGGGAGTTTCATATAAGGGCCCCTGCAATGCTTCCGCGGCTTGACTCTGAACGCCCCCATGCAATTACGCCGTATACTCCTCTCCGCTCACTTGACTTGCAATCTAAAGAGTAGAGATCCAACTCCAACCGGCTGACCGTTCAGCCACCCCCCAAATTCGACACAGAAGCCGTCCAACATGCCAAAAGAGAAGTGCCAGGAACAAATAATTAGACCACGGTCTTCTGAATAATTGACATTCTGTCTCAACAGCTCTTGTCTGAATGTCCCAGCAACTACCCTCTCATGTACCCTAAATACCCCCAAATATGGACCATAAGAGCTCTGTTTAAGGGCACTTTGGGGCCTATGCCCTCAAACCCGGTCAAGCAACTGGAGACTCACCCGTGGCAAGCTTGCAAAACACTTCGGTGAGTCCGACAGCCGTGAGACACTGCCCTTAGACCCTAGACACAAGAGTAACCTAGGCATAAAGAGGGTGCCCCGTTTTGTTTAAAGGGGCTTGTAAGGGAACCTGAACCCTAAAAAAGGGAACAAGGTCCAAGACTCTCAGCCGTGAACATGTGCAGTGCCTACAGCCCAAGCTTGGGAAGTCTGGTAGTAATCGTACACGAGCTCTCTCTTCCTTAGCCCCTTTTTGCCGGACTCACGTACAGTACAGCGCTTGGCTGACTTCGGAACCCGTGCTAAAACAACCGTCTGTACCTCCTCACCCTAAAACTCCTATTTGTTAAAGAACGGAGCCCAAGAAACACCCCTGCCAATTACTCAGGCTTCTACATCCCTAAACCCAGAAAGAGGTCCCCAAACCCAAAACCCTACACGAACGGCCCCTTCGCGGCTCCTTTTATGATTTTCGACTTTGGAGCCGTCATGATATAAGGAAACCAGAAGGCCTCCTTTTATGATTTGTATGGGGCTTTCCGAAGATAGGGGACCGTCATAGAGCACCCTGAATAGAAAGATCTTCATAATAAGGACCCCGAAATACGCTCCCGCTAATTTTCGGCAACTCCCGTATGCGTTCCTACACCCGAGGATCAGAATGGGCCTTCGGTCTCTATCGAGTTGAAGGCGCGCAGGACATTCGGATGCCTCGCACCACGAGCAGTCTCAGTGCCTTTCCCGTAAAGGGTTTTCCTTTTCAGGATCCTTGAGGGAATCCTTCAGCTTCACCGATAGTCTCCATTGTAGTTCCTTTTTTTGGTTTAACCATTTATATATTAAGGATCCTATAAGGCAACCCCAAAAAGGAACTACAATGGAGACTATAGGCACTTCTCAAAGCCCGAATTTGGGGTTCCACATGCTAGTAAACTCTAATAAAGTAAAAGACCAACCGAACACGGCAGACTAACAAGCTCTATGTAGCCGATTGCTTGTGGTTGATTGCGTGGGCAACCGACGAATGTTAATTCTTCGCAAACGTAACCCCGAGCCTGCCACACCCGCGACCATTACGTACCCTCAGAAACCAAGTCTACAAATCCTACCTCCTTTGGGGTCGAGAGTCTACAACTAGTACCTAGTTTGGCCTATTTCGAATCTCAGGGGTAGGATAGCCAGCAGTACCTTACCTGTACGACTTCAGCCCAAGATATCGTGTGCACGACCGCATGGCAGAAGTTCATGGACAGATGCCTTGCGCTACCGAAACCCACTTTTTTGCAGGGTCCCCATGAATTCTGGATTAGGGGTTATAACTTATAAAAAGAACCCTGCAGCACAGTTGGTTATGGTATGCTTGTTAAAAGGTAGGACCAATGCGATGGCAGGAGCCAGCTGTGCGCCAGGCCCCATCCCCATTCCGAAATTCCATGAGATCGAAACCAAACCCTGAACTCGATATCGAAAACCGAAAACCCCTTGATGCGGGCCTTAAGGTTTTCGTCAGCTGTTCCGCATTCTTTGCTGCGGCCCCCTGAGGGACGGACGAGTGTTTTTTGGGGCTTCTCGGTCATGCATTACCGGTCTCATATGACCGTGAAAGCATGAGCATGTTAAAAAGGGTAGGTTATTACTAGCTGCTACTAGCATCCCCAAAAAACACCCGATGTTTAGGGTGCCCTAGATAAGAATCAGAAACACATCTGCAAGCTTTTGCTTGGAGTATGGGTGCGATTTCATTTAGTTAGTTATGGTGCCCATACAGCTGAACCCTAAACCCAAACCCCGAAACCTAAACCCGAAACCATGCTAAACCCTGAACCCTACGTCCTAAACCCCACACCGTCATCCTGAATCCGTTGTCGGAGAGGCACGGGTTAGAAATCAAACCGCTCGGAGGATTTTAGGCCTAGGGCTTCTGGGGTTTGGGTTTAGGGGGTTTAGGGGTTAGGGGGTTGATGGTACAGTAGAAGCCAGAAAGTTGGAACATCATTATCCTCATGCCGTTAAGGACTTCTGGGATTCACAGTATAGGGTTTAGGGATCAGGATATATGGGGTTTAGGGCATATGGGGTTCATCGGATCTTCATGGTCGCTGAATGGTTAACACTAAGAAGCTCACGCTCTTGGTTTTAGAGCACTGCATCTCTATTCCCGAAATCCCACACCCTTGAAATGGAAAAACGGGCGGAAACTTAAGCCCTAAACCCCAAAAATTTTAAACCCTAAATCCTATATCCTAAACCCCCTGAACCCTATAAACTCTATGTCCTAAACTCCTTAAACCCTAAACCCCATGCCACATCCCCACCTGTGCTGGATCCAAGTCCTTCTTGCCACAGATGAAGACTGAGACCGGGCTTCCGTCACTCTTTTTTTGACCTGGCTTGGGGGATGTTCCAGGACCCCCGTCAAAGGGCCATTTGAATAGAGCCCTTGTGGTGCTTAATAGTGGGTCTTTGGGGTATCTTAAAAGGTAGTTGGGGGGGTCTAGGTTGTGAATAGGGATCTATACTTCTACGGTATGAAAATCAGAAGTAAGAGGTTATAGACTATAGAAGAACCCTCAGCCCTAACCCTAAAAAGTACGTATTGTTCAGAAACCGTCTTTGAGACCTGATGCTCTACAACCTTAAAGGCAATCACGCAATGCTTGAAAATGTTCAAAAGCCAATTGTGTACTCACAACGAAGTTTAGGTGGAACAACCTCAGATTCGAATCGTACATCGGTGGTTTTGCGGTGAAGTGGACGGTTCGGGGTTTGGGGTGTGTTGGATTTACACAGCACATTCCCGACAGCAAGACGATCATAATATGACTCTTATGTGGTCCTTGTCATTTTTGACAGGTCCCGTCCGGCCTGGCACTCCTTACAAACTGAACACCTCAAGCTCAGCATCCTAAAGCTGGAAACCTTGGCGAAATGCCTGGTTTGAGAGTCCTTGCTAACACTCTAATTAAATAAGAACATCCGCGCGGCATCATCACTGTGAGTGAAGGGAAGGCCGTTTTAGGATTCTCTGATTGCTCGAAGCCGGAACACTACCGAAAAGCCTATAACACCAGTTTGGGGTATTTGTAAGGGTGCTCAGCGAGGGCTGGGGCCGTCGGCCTTTGTGCAGATGCCACGTCCACGAGAAGGGCAACTCAACCTGAACAAGAGCACGCTGAGAGGTCAAAGTACCCCATCGTTGCGGCTTAAACTTTGTAGGGTTTACCGGTTTACCTGTAGCAGAAAAAACCTACCTTTTTCAGGAACCGTATATAGAAACCATCACAAGGAACCCCAAAGCGGTAGGTCTTTTCGGCTACAGGTAGGGATACCGTAAGGAAAGGTTCGAAGGTTTTAAAACAAAGGTTTGACAAGGCTCATATAGCGGTGTATTAAGTAGGCATTATGTCTTGGGGAGCATAATGACTATCGGGTACATGCACAGCTGCATGGGAAAACGCCCCTGAACCTTCAACCCAAAAACCTTAAACTTAAACCCTATAAACCATAAAGCCGTTAAATCCTGTAGCGCCTAAAGCCCCCAAACACTAAACACTAAGACAACAAGTGAAGCGGCCCTGGATTAAAACACCGGGGATCCCAAACCCACTATGCTGAATTCTGGTGCTCTGCTGCCTTGTACCAGACCCCTCGATTTCCCATGCTTCACCTTCAAATTGCCCATGGAATTATTAGGGATTTGTCAAACCCCAAGTCCCGAAATCCCTGAACCCCTGAAGCCCTAAACCCTAAACCCCAAGACCCTAAACCCTTAAACACCAAAAGCCCCAAACACTCACCAATAAACCCATCCCCTAACCCTCTCCCCCTCGACCCCCGGGGCCCTAAGATCCTAAACCCTCTTTTGTTCAGCCTTCTCGCCGATGGAGTAGCCGAAGCTGCTCGGAAGCTCGCCCCATCCAACCTCTGAGTCTTAGAGCCTTCCTAGGGTTTACGGGTTGAGGGGTTTAGGGTGTAGATTAGGGGTTTAGGGTTTTAGGGGTTTGGGGCTTTACGGTTTTAGGGCTTTAGGGTTTATGGGTTTTGGGGTTGAGGTCGCCTTCCTATGCTTTCCTAAATGAGTCGTTAAAGGGGTAGGTTTTCTAAGTTTCCAGGAGAGGGGTAACCTCAGAGCTGGGATAGAGTGCAATTGAAAATCCTCCTCTTGAGGGTTTATGGCTGTTGGGTTTCGGGTTTAGGGCTGTCATGGCGTTAACCCTAAGGGTCCGAGTACCTAATTCCAGTATCATATAGTAACCTACCGAACTACTATCCGAAACCTAAGTACCTCATTATTGGGTCCTTTGGACCCTAAGGGTGAATGCCTCTCAGAAGCTGCGATTGTTCATTTCAGAGGCATTCTTGCCTTGGAGGCTTACAGTCTGCACTGCCGAGCTAAGGGGTGCAGGGCTTTCAATGATAACTCTGCATTCAGGGTTTAGGGCTGAAGGTTCAGGATTTCGGGTTTATAAGGTTCGCGGTTTTAGGGTTTTAAGGTT